TGACTGGGAGCATCATCACGCACTCAATCCATCCTCAAATGCCTTCCTGGAATTCTTTCAAGAAATGAGCTTCAACCAGCATGTACCAACGCATGGCAGTAACATTCTCGATTTGGTCCTTTTCACGCTTCTCAACATAAGCGAGGTTACAGTGTCAGCTCCACTGGCGAATTCCAATCATTAAATTGTTTAGTTCAGCCTATTAAAAGAGCTTGGTAGTGCGTGTCGTCTACCCTTCCCCGATTACTCTTCCGCTGAGTACGTTGGACTTGATGAGTACTTTCGGAAAGTTGATTGGCTACAGCTATTTGAGAATTACATCTCTGCCGACGATGCATATGCCAGGTTTTGCAATGTGGTCTACAGTGGGTTAGCAAGCTTCGTCCCAATGAGGTTTCCGAGATCTACCTTCATAAGATATCCCTCACACATAAGGAACTTATTATTCCAGAAGGAGCGCCTCTTCCGGGAATTGGATTTCCCTTTGAGTTCCCCGCTTTACAAAAAGGTGTGCTCTGACGTTGACCATCATTCGAAAAAGTTTGTTGCCAGTTACGAGCGCCATCTTGGGAGGTCTGTTTCTATGCGGCTACTGCACCTTTACCTTCGCAACAAACTTAAACGCAAACCATCTCTCCCTATTTTGAAAGATCAGGCTGGGTCAAGGCTATACAACGACTCTACTAAGGCTGAAGCTCTGGGCTGGATATTTCGCTAGTGTCTTCTTGGATTCGACCACTGCTGATGGTGAAGTAGAAAACAGCTTGCAATATATCCACCGTAATCTGCCCGATATCTACTTTCACCCTACTGATGTTCGTTTGGGTGCTGAAAAGTTTGAAGCCTTCAACTAGTGAGCCGTTCGATGGTTCACCTCAGATCATTTTCAAAAAACGCTGTGAATCACTATGTTATCCACTTTCCTTCTTGTTCGATATCTCTTTCCTTCTGGGGCAGGTCCCCTACTTTTGGAAGAATGCTATAGTCACTGCCATCCCCAAACAACCTGGAGCGGCTAGTGTTACTGATTTCAGGCCTATCAGCATTACTCCCACACCGGCCAAAGTCATGGAGAAAATTATGCTCAGGAAGTTATTAGCATGGTTTCAGAAATTCCACCTCGTCCCAGCTGAGCAGCACGGCTTCCTGCCCAGGGCTTCTGCTTGTACTAACTTGCTTGATACCTTCTATGATGTTTGCTGGGCTATAATTCGAGGGAATTCTGTGGACATCATTCATCTAGACCTTTCAAAAGCCTTGATAAAGTCTGTCATCCTAAACTCATTAAAAAACTGGAGCGCTACGGAATTTGGGGTAACGCTTTGGACTGGATCAAGTCGTACCTTAGTGACAGGAGCATTACAGTGCGAGTTGGTACTAGTTACTCTACTGAGTACATCTGTACTAGCGGGGCTCCCCAAGGTGGAGTACTGTCACCTCTACTGTTCTTGATTTACACCACGGAATTACCACAGATACTCAAAACACGCAATGATGTTCACGTACAAGTATACGCAGATGACATCAAACTTTACGCTCCGTATGAATATTCAAATAGAGAAGTTATACAAAAAGCACTGGAGTTGTCAGTTGAGAAAATGCGATGGGCATCCAACTGGGATATTCCATTGAACCTGAGCAAATGCTTGGTGATGCATTTCGGAAATTCTGCTCCTAATGACTACGTTGTAAATGGAATAAGACTACCAATTTGTGACTCAACTAAAGACCTTGGAATTATTTTTGATACCACACTGAAGTTTCCTGAGCAAATCGATGAGGCTGTAAAAAAACATTTGCCGCGATGTTCGCGTTAATGAGGAATATCAGATGCGCGGATCCGACCATACTTCTTCGTCTTTACAAAACATATGTCTTACCCTATCTATAGAGTATTGCTCGCAGGTATGGAGCCCATCTCACAAAAAAGATATTCTCAAGATAGAACGAGTCCAACAAGTGTTCACGCGTATTCTTTGGTATCGGTCTACACCTTGGGTAAGCCGGCTTCGTCCACCCTCA